TGACTACTCTTGGCCAAGATGAGTTTTCTTTCAGAAAGAACTTCCCAAAGACAATATTGTGGTCTGTGGTACTGATATTTGTGATGGGGTTCATAGCTGGTGGTTTTATTCTTGGAGCCGTCCACAATGCCATACTCCTTGCTGTTGTGGGAATTCTTTTCGCTGCTGTTGCTGCTTTGTTCACATGGAATACTTGTTGGGGAAGAAATGCTATTGTAAATTATATTTCTAGGTATCCTGATGCTGAGCTCAGAACTGCTAAAAATGGGCAATACGTGAAAGTCTCTGGGGTATGTAGCATAGCCAAGTCTGATAAAATATCTTATATTTCTATCTCCTCTTGTTGGCTTATATTCCAATTGATATTATGATTCTAGCTGGTACTTTTCTTCCTTGCCTTAGATCTCAAATACCATCACTAAGTTGTTTCTCACTATGTGCGTATGTCTGTTCTTCTTTTACTTTGATTCATGTTATAAAGTTGCACTTTGCACAATAATCACCCATCATTGTTTCTCCACTGACATGAATTGGAGAGATGACATCTTTTACTGAGAACTGCAATGCTGAGAACGGAAGAACAGATGAGTTAATCTGTTTACATAAAAGTGGGAAATGAGTCTTGATAAAGTACAGAAACAGGTTGGACTTTTTTAATATTTTAAAGTGTGTAAATAAGCCCTGCAATCTTGAAAATTTCCTACTTTGACATTCAAATGCATATATGGATGATGCAACTGTGAACATATCCTGGATGGTACTTGTTGCTAAGTGGTTTATCATCTGTCATCGTGTATCTTTTTCTGCATAACTAGCATGCCGAAATTTTGATGTTATGTTTTTCATAATTCTTGAAGGTGGTTACCTGTGGTAATGTGCCCCTTGAGTCATCCTTCAGGAGAGTTCCTAGATGTGTTTACACATCTACGAGTTTGTATGAGTACCGAGGATGGGGTTCCAAACCAGCAAACCCTACACATCGTCGATTTACATGGGGACTTAGATCATCAGAGGTCAGTAACTGAATCCTGTGGAATATTATGCAGCACGGATAATTCTATTGGAGAACCTACCCACTTTTGAATATGGATATGTAACTTATGAATACTCCGCAACATGTATCTGATTCTAGTTATATGCATTTAGACTTCTCGTAGTTATTCACATGTTTCTTGAAGTTATGGTCAGGCACTTCTTGAGAGTTTAATGGCATGTATATGGCATTAACGACTGGACAACAAAAGACATAGCACACACAATTAGTATGTCCTTGGCATTAACGACTACAATTAGTATGTCCTTGGCATTAACGACTACAATTAGTATGTCCTTTGCACATCGTACTTTTTCTCATGAGAATTGTTATTTTGTATATATTGCTTAAAAGTTGTGTTCATAACTTCATGTTAATGCTTAAAGGCCTTGTAACTTTATTAGCCTTGTAATATGTTTCCTCGTAGGCTCATATTCTACGTATCTCTTAATTCTCAATTCAGTGCCTTTTACGAATGAAATTGTACATTTTTTCTGTTTTTAAGTAGAACAATTGCAAAGAGAATGTTATATTCTTTTTTATCCTCAAATCAGGGACCTTTTTCTTTTCACAAATAAGAAAGAAGGAAAAAATTACAAAAGATTTGCGTGTCGGTGAAGTGGTTGATTGCCTTTGTGATGCGTACACTAGACATCTTAGTTACCGCTTTATGTCTACAAAGCTTCTTCTGCTAATCATTTTTCTTTCTCAAAAAAAGGATTTCCGTATCACATAAATGCCCCAGTTGACAACTGGAGGGCCGATGTGCATGAAGTGATGGTGTTGCTTTTCTGAGTTTAAGGATCTTAAATTCTGAAGTGTACATTTGTCTATGTTGCTTGACAGAGCCGCGTAGTGGACTTCTACATCTCTGATTTCCAGTCTGGTTTGAGAGCACTAGTTAAGACCGGCTATGGAGCAAGAGTTACTCCTTACGTTGATGAGTCCGTCGTTATTGACGTTATCCCAGAAAACAAAGACATGTCTCCGGAGGTTCTCAGGTGGTTGGCAGAGAGGAATCTTTCAAGTGATGACCGTACAATGCGATTGAAAGAAGGGTAAAAACTTATCACTTAATCCATTGTAGGCGCTCGTAATTATTTGTAAGAAATGCATGAATCAGTTTACTCCGAGTCAGTCTTGCATAACTCCAAGTGATGTTCGTTTTGTAGGTACATCAAGGAAGGTAGCACGGTAAGTGTGATGGGAGTTGTCCATAAAAATGACAATGTTCTTATGATCGTCCCTCCACCCGAGCCACTGACGACTGGATGCCAATGGAGCAATTGTATTTTTCCAGCTAGCCTTGAGGGGGTTGTTTTGAGATGTGAAGACTCCTCGAAAAACGATGTCATACCTGTTTAGTTGTTTGTGTGCTCCATGAAACTTTTCGGGTATTGTTGGTCTTTTGAGAAATATTTTGTTCCCGGTGTCAAAATTGATGGGGGTGGCGGCAGTGGCGGTGGTGTAGTGATAAACAGTGACGAGCTTGATGGTTTAAGACGACGTGATTTTTTCTCTCCTTGTGTATAGATTTTAGAAAATTTCTTATCCATTGTTTTTCGTAGGGTTTGAAAGTTTCTGTAATGGTGTGGCTTCTTGTAGTGGGGATTTTACAAGTGTGAGGAGACTTTGTTATAAAGGAAAGTGTTACATAATTCATCGGTTCATTTTTTGTTTTTGTTCATCCGTTTGCCCCTCTCAAATTTGCTTTCGTCTCTCTCACAGCTCTGCATGGTTTTCACTATTTTCGATTGTTTTTTCATGGTACGTACTACTAAATGATCCGAGAAATTAACAGTTTAGATCTTGTATATAGTAGAACAATTATATCCTACATAAAACCTGTACCCCTGAGTGGAATGTAGCATTGTAGCCGGACAGCGACCAATTTCTCTTGAGAAGGACGAGGCAACCTGCTCAGTTCATCATTCATCATGCCCTTTTCCCTATTTTACCTAATCCCAAATCATTGTACGAATGCTTGGGCTGGTTTCGTACTACTTCTTAAGAAAAAATCTAGGAAGTTTTAACGAAAAACCTGCGGTACTGTTTATTTTAATGAAAAATTACATTTTTACACTAAAAAGTCAATCCTTGTATATTTACTTTACCTTTTATTTTGTCCTTATCGTTAAAAATCAAAATTTTCAAACCTTTTTCATTAGTTTTCCTAAAAATTCTATGCTCATATTTTAGAAGTGATTTTATATGAATTACGTTTAAAATTTCTTTAGAAAATCTAAGTGCTTCGCAATGAAACGTGCTTCTCTAGAAATTTCCAAACAGACACTTGAAAAGTTTGAGAGTTTTCCATTTACAAGACCATCTCCAATCCTTGGTGATAAAACTTAAAATTTTAAGCCAAAACAATTTTAAGCTATAACCCAGAAACTGCTTTTCTCATCGAAACCTTAGAGCTTAAAATTTTAGCCCGAGATATTAAATATTGATTTTAGCCTTTTTTTTTCAGTAACTTTTTTATAATAAAATTTATGTAGATTATACTAATTTATTTTTATGAACATTTTAATCTAAAAATATTTAAATTTCTAAAAACATTTTAATCTAAAAATATTTGATTAAAATAATTTGCTTAAATTATTTTAGATGTTAGATTTAATTTTGGGCAATCATATCTTTTTTTTTTCACCATTAAATTTGATCTCATTTGATCACAGCTGTTAAATTATAAGTAGCAAAACAAAAAAAAGTTTGAAATATAGTAGTTTGGTGGGTCAAGAATAATTTAATACATACTTAAATCCTGAGGGAATCTAACCCAAAGATATATTTGCTCCCCATGGCTTATTTTAGCCCAATGGTTGGAGATGATTTTGGAGGTTTTAAAGCTTATACTTTAAGTCATAAAGGTTGGAGGAGAAAAACAGTTTCTGAGTTATCGCTTAAAATCTTATAGCTTAAAATTTTAAGCTTTATCCTCAAGAGTTAGAGATGGTCTAAAAGCAAGAAAATTCCTAACGATCTTTCCATGCATTAACTTTTACGTCATTAATAATTAAGTTCGACCCTGAAAGAGTTTAAGCGGTTTACTTACCACTTCAGAAGGTGTCTCCACAAGGAAAACACCTTCACGCCACATGCAGCATGCGTGCATTTGATCGTTTCTCCACATATTTTGTGAGGCTTATATGACAAGTTATGTTACCCGACTATCACTTTAACATCTTATCATAATATACGTACGCATTTATCATTTGGCAACAGAACAAATCGTACTGTCTAGCAAGCGAAATGTTGCTAACAAGCTTATCTTAACTAACTTTGCGTGTACTCATTTAATGAATCATTCGTACTTATCATCTTTAGAAATTTACAAATATTAAATAGGTTATTATGGGAATTTTGAAGGGACATTAGGGATGATGGCGAAACCCAACAACATATCCGTGAGGTACAACCTCTTTTATGCCCCTCACAACTCTACATATTTTCCTCCTTCAGAAATTAAATCTTTATTTTTTTTTAAGGAAAATCTTTATTTTTTAAACAAAATTAACAAATAATTTAAACAAAAATAAGACAAAGATTAAACCTTGGGATAAAATAAATAAAAAAGATCCTACCTTGTGACTGTGACCACAAACCAGTACTGTACATAACTATTGTAACAACCAAAAGGTACAAAATACTCGAAAGTAGTATTTTTACTCGTTATCTACACACTAACCAGTTATCTACACATGCATTTTTACTCGTTATACACTTTCTTAATTTTTGACTATGAATTCAATAAATTAAAGAAGATTAATTAAAAAAAAAAAAAAAGAGTGTAAAAGCTAAAAATTGGGGCGTGAATAGAACTTCCAATTCCAAAAAAATTATCCCCACAAAATTAGGGGCATATCAGACATTTCATATACTTTGTACAGGTTCCCCTTTAATTGGAAAATAGAGATCGACAGTGTATACACTGTAAGAGTGAGCTATATATAATACTTGGTGTATAAAATTCGTGTACACCTTAGTACTAAGCAATCGCAATTTCTTTGGGTTCGGAGGTTTTTGGCCGGACGAGACAAGCGCACACAGTTGTTGCTTGCTCCTCTCTCTCTCTCTCTAACTATCTCTTCACGCTCTCTCTCTCTAGCTAGTGAGAAACAAACAGAAACCCCAAAAGAGATTTTGGAGAGAGAGAGAGAAAGTCTGAGGTTTTTCCTTTCTGGGTGCTCTTTGTCCTTGTCAGTGAAGCCATTATGTCTTCAATTCTCCAGATTTCAGCTCTCCATGCTTCTCCTTCAGGTATGTGTATGCATAACTTTTACTTAGTTGCCATTTGGCCCTTGCCCGTATGAATTTTTTCTCTTTTGTCAGCTACTATCTGACTGAGATTTCAGAGTCAATCTCTACTTGTTATGTTAGATCTTTCGATTTTCTTAGTTTTTGCTCGAAATGGTGATCTGGGTATGCTTTATTTTGTTGATTTGGGCTGAAAGATTGGACATTTGGGTGGGTGGTGCTTGAAGATTGTGCCATTTTGAAGATTTTTTCCATTTTTGGAATGGTTATGCTGGCTATTAACCTTCCCTGAAATCTGGGTTGGTTTGTGTTTCTTTTGAGTTTTGTTTGGTTGTTGAGAAAGTGTGGGGAGAGGAATTGGAAAGGACATGCTTGAACTTTCCTTTTTGTTGCATTGGAATTTTGGTATTGCTAAAACCCCCCATTGAACTGTGCAGCACTTGAAATCTGCACTTTTTATGTAGATCTTTTTCGTGTCTTTGATTTAAGGGCAAAATATTGATGTGGGCTTGCTTTGTTAATCGGATTTGAGGTGAAATTTAGTTTTTGCATCTTTCTAAAAATGGAAGATTCTGAATTTCAGATACTTTCTCCTAATTATCCAAGTATTACTTCTGACCTTCTAAAACATGCTTATTTTTTTGAAATGCTTTTCTTACAGTTCCTGAAATTAATTCATTTTGTCCGTGGTATTGTTCATTTGAGTTAGGATGGCATTTCAATTGATATACTGCTTTCATTGTATAAAGTTGAATGTGCGTATGATTTATGGACCATGGATTCTTATATGAATCTACGTATATAATACTCTCCACTCAAACTCAACTAAACTACAGTGAATCAATTTGTTGCTTCTGGCTTTGTCTTTACTTTCTTGATTATCATAAACAAGATGTTATGCATGCGCATGAGCGTTCCTACACACAGGATTGGTTTCATAAGTGGCACAAATCATAACCACATTATAAGGATTATACTCAATAAGATAGTTCTTTAATATTCTCTGAAACTCCACTTGTATATTTAGTTCTATTATTTTATAGGAGTAACTATAGGTTGTTGTGGTATATATAGATGAAGAAACATTGCATGGGTGATGACTATTTCATTGGTGGTGTATAAATTAGACGTGTTTTGTGATAACTTTTCCATGACATATGAATGAAGTATATAAATGTTCAAAAATGTTTTAGCTTTACAGCCTTTACTGGAGATCTGAGACGGCTTCGTAATCTAATTCTTTTGTGACTCTTCTTTATTTGTTAGTACCTATATAACCTTTATTTTCTCCATTTACTCCTTGTTCCTTTCCATTCTGCAATTCATTTGTGTTACTATATTGTGTGTGGCTGTGGGTTACTATTTGGTTTTTAGATAATCAATAAGTGATGATTTTAACTTTTGCGGTGCCCTTTTTCCCCTAGGAGGATCACATCACTGAACTGCTCGTCTGCTAGTTGAGTTTATTGTGTAATATCTCGTGGGATCTTTCAAGGAGCTAGATGGGTTCCAGATTCAATTCTCATCAACTCAGCAATGGCCTTTACGTTTCAGGCCGGCCAGAGCAACCAAAGGAAAGGACTCCAACTATGAGCTCAGTTGCCGTGCCCTATACTGGTGGAGATATCAAGAAGTCGGGAGAACTAGGGAAGATGTTTGATATCCCTACAGATGGCTCTAAGTCTAGAAAATCTGGACCTATAACTGGTGCTCCTTCAAGGACTGGATCTTTTGGAGGTGCTGCTTCACATTCAGGACCAATCCCTAATTCTGCAGCTCGTGCAGGCTATACCACATCAGGTCCCATATCATCTGGAGGCATGCCCGGTTCTGCTTCCTTAAAGAAGTCAAATTCTGGACCACTGAATAAGCATGGGGAACCTCTAAAGAAGTCGTCTGGTCCACAATCTGGTGGGGCAACACCAACTGGCCGGCCAAACTCTGGACCTCTTCCTCCTGTTCTCCCTGCAACAGGTCTCATTACATCTGGGCCCATTTCTTCCGGCCCACTAAACTCTTCTGGTGCTCCTCGTAAGGTATCTGGTCCTTTGGAGTCAATGGGTTCAATGAAAGTACACGGTTCCTCCATTGGTCACAATCAGGCCATTACTACTCTCAGCCAAGATGACGAGTTTTCATTTAGGAAGAACTTCCCAAAGTTAATTATGTGGTCTTTGATTCTTCTTTTTGTGATGGGGTTCATAGCTGGTGGTTTTATTCTAGGCGCAGTCCACAATGCAATTCTCCTCATCGTGGTTGTGATCCTTTTCGGTGCAGTTGCTACACTATTCACATGGAATACCTATTGGGGAAGACGAGCTATTATAGGTTATATTGCTAGTTATTCTGATTCTGAGCTGAGGACTGCAAAGAATGGGCAATTTGTGAAGGTCTCAGGGGTAAGTTTGATGGATTTGAAAGTGTGGCCTATAAATTTTATTAAGAACTCTGAAGGAGGGCGAGATGGAGATACACTGGGGCATTTAATTGCTGGAAATTCTATTTCTGTACAATATTATCTTCTAGGTTCCAATACAAATGAGTTGGGTTTGTGTGTTTTTTCTTTGGATTGAGCTTGGTTATTGTACTGTATATGCAAATCAGTATTTTTTTTACAATTCTTATCTGGTTCTGTTTCTGAAGGTGGTCACTTGTGGCAATCTGCCTCTTGAGTCGTCCTTTGAAAAAATTCCTAGATGTGTGTATACATCTACCAGTTTATATGAGTATCGAGGATGGGATTCAAAAGCTGCCAACCCTACACATCGTCGATTTACTTGGGGGCTCAGGTCCATAGAAGTGAGTAACTGAAACTTAGCTTAATATTTGATGGATAAAGCGGTCTTTCTCTTTCTGCTTTTTCTTTCCTTTTTTATTGGGTTGGGGACTTGGGGTTTTCAAATTAGCTAACTGATTTCCTTTTTTTTTTTCATTAACTTTCAAATGATTTAAGAGTCTGAGGTTGGCTAAGTTTGCATGCAGGTGAAATTGTGACAGTTTTTAATGTGTTTTAGAGGTTGACAAACAGTGTACAATACTAAATTGTCAATCCTCTAAGTGCTGCTATTTGAATTTTGTTGATATGTATGTTTCTGGTTTACTTGGCTTCTTGCGTTGAATGCTTAGTTTCTAGGAGCCATTCCATGGTGATGTCATGGGACCTCTGTGTCTACCAGGCTTGGAAATTCTTTTGCTTTAGATTTCACACTTATGACTCAAATTTTCTGTTTATATCATTTGACAGAGGCGTGTGGTAGATTTCTACATCTCTGATTTCCAATCTGGGTTAAGAGCATTGGTTAAGACTGGTTCTGGGGCAAGGGTGACTCCTTATGTTGAAGATTCGATTGTCATTGATGTGAATCCTGAAAATGAAGAGTTGTCCCCAGAGTTTATTAGGTGGTTGGGAGAGAGGAATCTTTCAAGTGATGACCGCATGATGCGGTTGAAAGAAGGGTAATAGCTTCTATCATACAATTATTCTTTGGTGTAAATTTTAGTGTTAATTATCATGCAATTAATTTACCTTGAAGCTCTTTCTTAATTACTATAATGGTAAGGTTCAATGAGATTTCCCCTCATAATCTATATTTATAGATGAGTTAAACTTAAATGCCCATTTTATGGATTTTATATTGTAATTTTGAATAGCCAGTGTTCATGTTCTCTGGAAGTAAACCGGGATGTAGGGCTTTCTACTGATTTTAGGTTTTCTCAGTGGAGGCATTAGCATGAAGTTGGGTGGCTAACGTCGAGCTCGTTTGGATGTGCTTTTGAAATGACTGAAAACGCTTTTGGTGAAAATGTTTTTCGAACCAATTCTTAGTAAAACTACAAGTAAATTCTGGAAAAGCACTTTAAGTGCTTTTGGAACCAAAAAATATTTTCTCTAAAAGTGCTTTCAGTAATTTTAAAAGCACATCCAAACAAGCCCGTACAGATTTGGTTGGGTTTTCTAGGTTGAAAAGTACTGCAGTTGTTTTATAGTCAGTCTTTCCTATGCAGCCCTAAAGTTTATCCTTAAGATAGTTGACCCAGCCAACCAACCCGGTACTAAATCTGAGTGAATGAATACTTAGACCTTGCCCCGTCTTCACACCCATAAATGTTTTAATGAACGAATAGTATGGTTTGGATTGATACGTCTGCCTTACCAATTCGGCGGGTGCTTATTTAGGACAAATAAATTGGAGTTAGTATAGGAACTTAACTGTGTGCTCTGACAACTACCGATACTGTATAAGTAATGTGAATGAGATTTGTTTACTTTCCATACAAGTAGTTTGATTTTAGGTAGATGCAAATTAAAGTGGTTGTAGCACTAAACTGCAATGTCGTAATTGCAGGTACATTAAAGAAGGAAGCACAGTTAGTGTAATGGGAGTCGTCCAAAGAAATGAAAATGTGCTGATGATTGTTCCTCCACCTGAGCCGATCACGACAGGATGCCAGTGGGCCAAATGTATCTTTCCAGCCAGCCTCGAGGGTATTGTGTTGAGATGTGATGATGCATCAAAGAATGATGTCATCCCAGTTTAGCAGTAAAGTACACTGCAGACTTACCCTTGTAGGTATTTCTCTTTCGGGAGTATATTCTTTCCCTCTATTATTATTAATTATTGTTGTTATCGATGTTGGCGATGATGTTAGGAGTGAAGAAGTTGTGTCCGTGACAGATTAAGACGGGGGTGGCGGTGTTTATTTCTTTTAACATGGTGTATAGTTTTTCCAGGTTTCATTTTCCTTTAATTGTTTTTATTCTAGGGTTTGAAAGCTTTGTAATGGGGGTGGTTTTGATGAAGCAAGGAATTTACATGTTTAATCAGATTGACTTAATGAATGTGAAATAGAAAGAAGAAAGAATTGAGTTGTTTGTATATCATCTTTTTACAATTAGTTTGTCCATCTCAACAAGCCCGAGAAAGTTCAATCCGTTCTATTGGTGGAGAAATTTTTTCAAGCACCCGATATTCAAGTGGGTACTCTACGTTGGGACAGAGAAAAATATATCATTTTCTACGCTTGTATCATTACAGGTCGAGTTCTGCTTGAATGCCAGCACTTGAAAAAAATCTCTCTAATTGGTGCATATTGTGTATCAGATTTGCTATAATTATAGTAATTTGAGTTTTGTTATTTAAATGTGGTGCGGTCTGGATTGCTTGATGTTAATTTGAAATGCATTTGGCTTGATGTTACTTGATGTTCAATTTTTGTAGTAGGGCGACAACATTAGTAGGTTAAATGGTTCGTTGTTAGGCGAGTAGGTTAAGATTGCTGATGCGCAATTTGGCATGCCAGAACTGAGCCATCGGGCAACTGTGCAACGTAACATCGATGCCCTGTTGTGCTCAACAGGGCACTGCCTCCGGACGCAAAAATCTCATTAATCAACCAGATGGTGATTTCTCCGATAAGGAAACATATGCCAATGCTGGCTATTACGGGCCCTAACAAAGCTTGGTCAGTCACCACGGATAGGACAACTCCAATAACATCTCCCATCGCACTACCATCTGATGCCATATTCGATAAAACGTTACGCGCCGCTGTTTGAAGCGGGTTGTCAGCCGGCAGTACCAACATCAAAACTCCTAAACCAAAAACAAGAACGGCCTTGCCAACAGCCCCCTAATCCATTGGATGCACGGTTACAGTAATATTTACCCGCCCGGATTTAGATACCATTGTGCCGTACATCTATATATTTAGATACCAATGCATATCTTTTGATATTAATTATATATTAATTATCAATTAATTAATACATCCCAAAGTCCATCTCCAAGGTTTGAGCCTAATTTTATTCTTCATGATCCATCACTCCAATAACTTTTTATAAGGGACAAAGTCTTATAAAGTGAGGTAATCTTTTAGTAGTGATCAATGTGAGGCAATGAAATTTCTACTCAAAATTTTCAACAAGAACACGATAAAATTTCATGCTAAGAACAATTGGCATGGGCACATTGGAAAGGCACCATACCCACCAGAGATTTTAAATGGTCAGTGGGGTGCGTTTCTGCACGTCCAAACGTCTTTATTAGCGATGGCTAGATCCAATGCGGCTGTTGTGTACCGAGGCCTGAATAACGCCAGGTAGCGAATGCGACTGGTTGTTGTCTCGGAGCAACCCATTTAACAGGGAAGGATATAAAAACACGGTGAGTATTAATGACTTCTTTTCTAATGATTTAAATAATGATCATTAACCGCCATATCACATAATATATAAAGTATTGTCTAAAAATAATCTCTCTACCATCATTCTTTTTTATATAATATATATATATATATATATATATATTGTTATAGGCATAATTTACTGAACAATTATAAATGTCAGAAAGAGAAATGTGCGACAATAGTAGAGAGAAAGAGAGAGATGTGTAATTATGGGTGTCTTCTATTTCACCCCATTGTGCCTTTATTTATAGTAGTAGGAAATGTTAATTTCTTACCTTTTTAGGATTACAACTCTTTAATAGGTAATTAACTCCTAATAGGAATATAAGAGATATTCTCATATCTACTAGGATTTATACAATCACATTCCTAATCTAATTAGTCTGCAACACTCCCCCTTGAGCATGTAAATACTCAAGTAAATGACGCATCAGATCTTCATCGATGAAGTAAGTATAGTTGATGAAGTCATCGGCACAATGAGCGAATGCGAGTCTCAAATCAACGGAAGAATGCATAAAAAGTAAAACTCACAAAACCTCGCTATAGTAAAACCCAAGGTGGGATAAAAACCATAGTCTAAAAAGAAAAGTGAGAAGTTGCATCAAGTCAAAATTATACGTCTTTTGGACGCAAGTAGAATAGCTCACAAGGGTATGATCAGCCCAGGATGGGTGCCTCATTAAAACCTAGTTAGGTAGCAAAAACCCAGTGGGAAAAATGCTTTTAATCGTAGGAAAAAGAGTACATTAAGATCAAGTGAGTATACTTCTGGATACTCCCCATGAGTTTGACATAACTTCCAAATGAGAACTACAAACATTGCATATGAATAGTTAGGCATACCAATTCCTCAGACAAGCTTCTAGAAGGTTGACTTCGGCAGTGACGTCGTGTAGAGGTCGGCAAGGCTGTTTGGGGCCTGCGTGACTTCAATCTTCTAATGCTTTGCTGATGTAGATGTAGATGCAATATGTCTTGGTGTTGACTTCGTTGATGTATCATGGCTTAGTTGGGTTGATACATACGGCATAATCTTCATGGATCGTTGTTGAGACTCAACGATGGATGAAAACATAGTAACATCCCATATCGACCAATGAATAGGGGTGATGTGCCTTATATGTACATGCCCACCTCCATATAGCACGAGGTGTTTTGGAAACTCATTGGCTTCAGGTTCCATCAGAACTCCGAAGTTAAATAAGTTCGAGCGAGAGCATTCCCAGGATGGGTGACCCACTGGGAAGTTCTCGTGTGAGTTCCCAGAAACAAAACCGTGAGGGCGTGGCCAGGGCCCAAAAAGGATAATATCATGCTACGACAGAGCTAAGACTTGGATGTGACAAAGTACTTCGAATGTGCTCAACAAGAACTCCTAACCATATCTCACCTGTGGTATAGTAAAGTGAGGTGAGTCTTGGAACGATTCGAAGATTTCGCAACTAAGGTCATATTGTGGACCTCTAAGATATTGCGATATCCCTAACGTTAAAGACATAACCATTTGAGGATTTTGCCTTGTGTGGGTTTGATAAGTAACCAGCGTCAGCATAACAAACAAGGCAAACATCATGTCAAGGATCAGGGAGTCGGATCCGCTAGAGATATGTCAGGATTTGATTTGCCCAAATTTGTAGTACCTTCAGGGTACGTCTTTAATACTAATTCAGTGGTTGCGTGTATGCTCGGTGCTGCATCTTTACCAAGATCAATAGCGAAGGAGATGTTATGTCAAAATACAATGAGCTAAGTACAACAAAGCGCAAAGTTGAACTCATACATGGAATTTCGGATTCTATAACCTCTTCAAGGGTCTCATTTGCATATAACGTATGAACGATCAAAGGTATACTCAAAGGAGACACATTCAGGATGTAGTTAGACTGGTAGACTAAGGTACCGTTAGAACAACACTGGAACTTCAGGTCAAGGTATAAACGAGTTTTCCTAAAATCTTTCATCTCAAATTTCATCTTCAGGTGCGAGGCAATTTTCTCAAACTCTTCCGGAGTCTTAGTGAGATGTATGGCAACGACATAAACTGTAACTCTAGAAATTTGGAATAAGACTTCATAGTTTAACATGCAAGGGCATAATTCATATCCCTGATTGATCAAATAATCACTTAGATGAGTATACCACATTCGTCGGATTGTAAGTGAACGCCTCAAACAAGTTAAGAGGGTGTTCTGTGGTTTTGGAACTATTTGAACCAGTCCATGTAATTCTTCAAGAACTAACATGTAAATCGTCGTATCTATATCACCATGGAGAAAACACTAACCACATTTCATAATGCTACTATCAATCACAGGACGTTTAAGAGAAACCTTGCATCGTAAAACGTGCATCATATTGCACTATTTCATTCATCTCATAATGCTTCCTTTCCTACTTGTAACACAATAGGGTTACCTTGGGCAGTGTAGGAACGACAAGTCCAAAACACACTTTGGTAAGGAATTTGACCTAAATTGTAATTACAATTGTCCAATCAGTTCTATGTTGTCACTTAATCAACGGAACACGGTTCGATATCGTTGCTTTTCATTTATGTCGATAGCTACTATATAAGTGAAAACATCATCGATAGTAATCTCATTTCAGTTCCATTTAGCTCATCTAAACTAGTATACTGGACCAAGAACTTCAAGTCTTGGGAGTAATCCGGATTAATCTCATGAGATGGAAATGATTTGAGACAGCGATCAAGTATGGATTCATTGTTGTGCCGTGTCTTCATCTTCTAGGGAAGTGAATCCTACGAACTGAGTGATCTGTTGTGCCCCAGGTCAAGACAGATTTATTGGCTATCCGCCGGTGTACCAGACCGTCCAACAGGGGCGACACACCCTCCATGGATGTTGACTCGACGTCCGTTAAGTACGTCTATCCTTGCATGCATGTTTGCAACTAATATATGATCTCGTCACTTTAGCTAGATCAGAGGAATGCATCTAGGGAAACATTCTGAAAGCTAGAATTCATCGCACTTGCTTATAACACTTGTGCGGTATGAGGATCGAGATAAGACATAATGGGCAATGTCCACGCAAATTTACGTCGTTCTATAGGAACGTTGACGTTCTTATCTCCCCCTAACGACGGGAAGACTGTCTCATTAAACTGACAACCCGCAAATGAGCGGTAAAGAGATCGCATGCAAAGGCTTGAAGAGAGCTAGTGTGAAGGGGAATCATGATCGACAAAAGATACACATCCTTCTTTGAGGATCCATATTGGTACGTTGCGGTGGCGCAACTTGGCACATGGAATGCACACCAAAATGCGTAAATACGAAAATCATCAGGTTCGTACCCAGTAACCAACTGTAATGTCATATAGGTTGGGTGGCAATGGGCCTCAATTTAAGTTTTTACAATTTAAGTATGGGTATTTTTGTCATTTCACTTTTGTGCATGGAGTTTGCGTGGCCAATTTGTTCTTGCTACCAAGATTACGAAAATGGCCAATTTATATCAATTTCCCTAATAATTTGGTTCAAATTTGTGTTTAGTAAGAATCAAATCTATAACATTTTAATTACAAGTGAAGAAGAATAGTACTAGACTGCAGTAATAAGCGACTTTAAATATGTAGTTAGGTTCTAAGGGCATGTTTACTTAACAAAAATGGAATAAATAAGGAGTGCGAGAACTTAGAAATAAGAAAAGTAAGAAAAGAGAATTGGATCCGCTAGGGAAAATTTGTAAAAAAAAAAAAAAAAAAAAACTAAAATTTAAACCTCATATAGAATTATAACCACTATTTTAAGTGTATGATAATTATAATCAAAACTTAATATGAAAATACTAATACATCCTTACAACGAGGTTTTCTAGAAAAAACCAAGATTCTTTGGGCGCTCAAATCTCTCTCCCATGGTTGGTCGTTACGGTACTAACCCTTTTGCAGAAGAAGACGTAGTCAATCCCTTCTCTGTGAGTCTTCTCTCTCGATGATTTTTGCTGTTGTTTCTTTTAAAATCAATTGAATTCGAATAGGGTTTTCTTATTTGGTGAATCTGGTTGCCTAGATTTTAGAGATTTTAAGATCTGAGTTTCACAGTCAAATTGAGGAAGACTAGGGTTTCTGTTTCTTTCGGTCTGTTTATGTTTTTGGGCCTAATCTCTTGATTAGGCTTTCGACTATTTTGTCTGGAAGGCCCACCTTTTTGTTGTATATTATGTTTGGGGCCTTGGCTTTGTAAGTTCTGGCTTGTAACTTTCGTTTTATGTTGGCAATAAATATGCCTTTCACTCTCAAGAAAAAGACAACGTACGGAATCCCACCTCGAAAATTTCATGGGTTTTTACTGTGTATTTTCAAATTTTAATTATATCTGTTTGCCCAAGCAATTATGATTGCATCCTTGCATATGGAAAGAGATCATCTTCGGATCCCTTCCTCTTAATCCACTAAGTTCAGAGATTCGGACCATTGAAATTTGATCCAACAACTACAAATAAGGGCCCACTTTAAAAATTATAATAACTGTAGCCGTTGAATCAAATTTCAATGGCCCAGATTCTCAAACTTGGTGGATTAGATGGAAGGGATCCGGAGAGGATCTATTTCCCTTGCATATACTTAACAGGGGTATATTAGTACTTATATTTTATATATATATATTTTTAATAATTATCATAAATTTCAAAAGGTGGCTATGCATTTAGTACTATGGTCTAGGAGTATTTTACTTGTAAGTGATAGATTTTAGAGTCAATTCTAGCCAAAGAAAATTTTGAATCACATTATTGCTAACTCATTGTGAGGCTTGACCCACGTGTAGATAATATCGTTTGTTAAAATTAAAAAAAAAAAAAAGGTGACTATAATTCTATTTGAAGTCTCAATTTTGTTTTGTTTTTTTTTTTCTTTTCAAATTTCTCATCCACTAGTCCCCTTTTGAAATATATTGCTATTTATAAACTTATTTTGGTGACATTTCCATTGGTACTTAATTAAAATTGATGTTTTTTTTTCTTCTTATAAATGGTATTTAAACTAAAAAAGTCATTCTTTTTATTAAAAGCGATAGTACTACTTACTACATGAACGATACTACGGAAACGAAGAGAATTTTGACCTAAAACACAGTGGATTAAAGAGAAGACTGTAAACAAATGCAACAATCCACCACTTGTCAATCAACACAATTTGATGGATTTGGACAACACATTTTAAATTGATGTGTGGTAATGAATTTCAGGTATGATATTAATCGATTTTCAAATTAAGAGATTAATGTAAAGAATTTGATCAATTTTAAGAATTATTTGTGATAAAAAAAATATTAAAAAAAACCTTCACTTTAACGTCCTATAAAAATAAGTAAATTTTCTCTGACCCTGGAGAAAACCAATAATTGTAAAAGTACCTCCAGCCTCACTGCAATAATCACTGTGTCGGTACGCGTAGTAGCTCTAACCCTCCTCCGTTGGCGCCGTTAGCGGTGACTCTCTCTCTCTCTCTCTCCCCCCCTCCCTCCCTCCCTAAAACTGCGAATCCATATGATATGAGATGGTTAGGCCCTCCGCGAAGCACACATCGGCTCGGCTGCTGTTGATATGCGTCGCTCTGCTGGGGATTGCTCTGATTGCCGATTTCCTGTGGGCTTCCTCTCCTCGCTTTATCCGTTCTTATAACGACATTGCCGACAATTGGGCTTCTCCTGTCGATATCTCAAAACCCACTATCATCCCCTCCCCCAAGAAAACTAGCCATGAAACCCCCACCAAGGTAATGGGTTTGCTTTCTAGTTGTTGAATTATTGTTTTTTTATTTTATTTTTTTTTATGTGAATTCTCATCTGGGTTTTGTTTGGCTTGTGAGAAAATGCGGTAAAGTTGATTGCTTTTCTTTGTTTGGTTGTTTTGTTGATGCTTCTTCGTGCTGCTATATGGTTTTCCGTGTGAATTTGATCTTAGTTTTGTATGATTTGGGAGGAAGTGTGCCTTTTTAGTTTGTTTGGTTTCTCATTTGAATCTCATTGACATTGTTGCTACTTAGTTTGCATGAATGTTTTCGTCTGGGAGTTGTTTAGATGGCGAGTAAGTGTGCTTTTCTTACTTGATGTGAGAATTGTTTGATTATTGAAGTCGTTATTGGTAATTGTAAATTAAGATTAGTGTTTCTGTGGATTTCCATGAGCCCATTCACTCTCATTGTTGCGGATTTTTGTCTGCTTGATGTGAATTCTTACCAGTATTGTTCGATTTTTGAGAAATGGAATGCTTTTCGGGTACCACTTGAAAATGTAGGAACAACACAAGCTATGAGAATATATCGTGAATTTCCACTCCTTTGAAAACAATACACTGTCCCTTTTACTCTCTTGTAGTATTAGTCAATCCTTGTTTCAGCTGTGAATATTGACCATTGTTTATGTTACCTACAGGGAAGCGTCAATTACAAAAACGATACTGCTCCTGGAAGAGTTTTATCAGCAACCTTTGCTGATTTGCCTGGACCAGAATTAAAATGGGAAAGTATGGCTGAGGCACCCGTACCTCGTTTGGATGGAGCTGCTATACAGATAAAGAATCTTCTCTTCGTTTTTGCTGGATATGGTACCATTGATTATGTGAGAACATTGTTTTGCTCATCTACTAAATTCTTTTTTACTGTTCATCCTATCTCTACTACGTGGTTCATGCTATGACCTTTTTTTTAGATTCAAATAGTCTCAGTTACATATTTTTTACATCCAGCTTTTCATACTTGAGAAGAAATATTTTAGCTTAACTTTGCCCCACTGACTATTGTAGAGATTGCTCTTACGTTTCCATGAGATCTTGTTGTAGTCCCTTAATGAAATAACCTTTTTATGCTTTTCTGGTTATAACGTTTAAAATTAAAGAATACTTATGGCTATTTATGGGTTATGTGACTTTTAGAAGTGAAGATTGATTAGTATAATGTAGAAGTACTTAATGTGAATACTTCACACTGTATTAAGTGAGGGTAAATAAAAACTTAAAAGATAGAAAATAAAACCATGCAATCATGTAGAAACTGGCCATGTTTTGCATCAATATGCTTAACGAGAAGGATTTTATTAGACCTAAAGAAATTTGATAGATATCTCAAGATGTAGGACAATATTGTCGTCTTGCAAGTGGATTAGGGATTTCTAGGAGTGGCGATTAAGCAAAATTAAAAAACTTCTTTGGAGAATCGTTGTTCATTGAATTTTTGGAATCCTGTAGTGAAAAAGTGAGATCAGATGGGGTGAAAAAGGTTTTTTTTTTTTTTTTTTTTTTGTCACGGGGGAGACATACTTTGACTTAATTGATATTGAGTAGAACTGTGGTGTCTTTTACGGGAACCTAGATCAAAGCATTGTAGTTTAATTCATCGTGATTGTGTTGCCTGTCTGAAATAGTTGCAAGTTCATTATGTAATTCTCTGCTTTTTTTCCCTATTATAGAGGGGCATGTTATCCCTATATCCATTTCAAATTAGATTTTAATGTTTATTACCAACGAAAAAAGCAAGGAAAATCACAAACTGCTTGCTGAGTGGTGACATCAGAGAATTAGCCTCATCTCAACTACTGGGGATTACCATTACCAACTGCTGCTGTTGGGGTAGATTAGCTATTTATTCACTTGTTCACCAGAAGGTCCAAAACTCGAAAAATGCTGTAACTTTTTCTGTTTATTGTTTTGTTTAGGTACATTCGCATGTTGATATGTACAATTTCAGTGATAACAAATGGGGAGAAAGATTTGATATGCCAAAAGAAATGGCACATTCACATCTAGGAATGGTAACCGACGGAAGGTACATATACATTGTCACAGGACAGTATGGGCCACAGTGCAGAGGGCCTACAGCTCATACGTTTGTGCTCGATACTGAGACAAAGCAGTGGCGGGACATGCCTCCTCTGCCAGTTCCTAGGTTTGTTTTTGTGGTTTCTGTTGTTAAACACCACCTTATTCTTGTAAAACTATTACAGCTGAATGTTAGTTAGTAATCAGAACTGGTAGCTCCAAGTTAATCTTTACGCGGTTTTAGATTTTTATTCTATTGGTTTGTAGTGCTGCAAAAACCCACACTCATACTTATATTAGTGTGCTCGCCTCAGTGCCCATATATGGTTTCTACTAGCTGATAAAACTTCTGTACTGTTGTTGTGAACTAGGTCTTTGTAGTTTAAGATTTGCATTACTAGGTCTTTGTAGTTCAAAAGTAACTCATACATAGTTTTTCTTCTGTAGTTCATGCTTAGATTGTTTGGTTTTAACTTAGAATTTTTCAGGTATGCACCAGCAACTCAACTTTGGAAAGGTAGACTACATGTAATGGGTGGTAGTGGGGAGAACCGATATACACCTGAAGTGGACCATTGGAGTCTTGCTGTAAAAGATGGGAAAGTATTAGAAAAGGAATGGAGGACTGAAATTCCTATTCCCCGGGGAGGACCTCATAGGTCTGTTTACTGTCTTGAAAATACATAATATTAAATCATAATTTTTGAACTTATATACCAACAACCATAACTGAAAGTTCTGGGCAATCTGTTAGTACAAGTATTCTCTTGGTCATTTAATAGGTCCTCTTTTACACTTGTAAATCGATTCCAGATTGTGTCTGATACTTAGCAATGACAATGATCATCTAGGGCAATAACATGAAGACAATCACACATAATCCCTGCTTAGAATGTTTAATGAGCTAACTTTCAAAGCTCTGGTCAGAAATCCTAGAGTCAGTAGATAGAGGCAGAAAGGGCTTGTTGTTACTGGATACCAAATTACCAATGTATCAAAATTTGTCTCTCATGGAGTGGTAAATGGTAAATGCAAGTGAAATATGAAAACTGGTGGAGTAATTCCTTTCAATAATATTTGTGCTGCCTTGGGTGGTCCTTTCTGACATATTTTTTAAATTTAAGACCTCTTCGCCCAACCCTCCCACTACAATGTGACCTTTTATTTGCCAATCTTGCTTTATCTATGGCATATCCCATCAACTAAAATTCACCAGCGTTCTCTGTCATTGGTATTTTCTTGTAGGGCTTGTGTAGTTGTTGATGATCGTCTTTATCTTATCGGTGGTCAAGAGGGTGATTTCATGGCCAAACCCGGATCACCTATTTTCAAGTGCTCTCGTAGGAATGAGGTAAGATGTTAACATATTTTTTATTCTTTTGTTATTAGTGAGTTTTGTTGCACCAGATATTCCTTTTTTATGTATTATCATTTGTTCAGATGGAAAAGGATCTACTACGGATCTTTTAGGCTTTTTAATACACATGCCAACACATATTTTACTCGCCCAGTTAGAATCATGCACTATTTACAAAGGAACCACTCAATTACTTACAAGAAGCTTCAGAGCCATACCCAAACATAGAATGAGTTTGGCAAGAACTCCCAACCAAAGGAGAAATCTGGACTTGTCCTCTTAAATAAGTTTCATTTTGTTATTTCTGATTGTTTCAGGTTGTATATAGTGATGTTTACATGATGGATGACGAAATGCAGTGGAAAGAGTTGCCTCCCATGCCTAAACCAGATTCCCATATTGAATTCGCTTGGACTGTTGTTAACAACTCTATTGTTATCGTTGGAGGCACAACTGAGAAGAACCCTGTAACTAAGAAGATGACTTTGGTTGGTGAAATATTCCAGTTCAACTTGAATACACTGGTATTTCCGTTCTCCTCATTATACTTTTACGACACCAATATATATGCTTAATTGTTTACCCACACAAATGAACAAAAAAACCACTAAAACAGCAAGGTAGTCACTGTTGATATGGAGATTATAGTACCACAATGTGTTCAACTACCTCATCTTTTTCCTTTAGTTGCTCAACTTATGCAAATAGGATGGTAGCTTGTATGTGGTAATTGATATAAATGCAGGCTTCATATTTCTACAAACAAGCTATAGCTTCTATAACGGGTCATAAGTTTCTTCTGTTATCGAAATCTCAGCAATTTTTCTAATTTGTTGTGATGCGTATTACCCTGTGCTCCTTATGTCCTAAGGGTTTAAGCTCTAATGTTAGTTTCTACTCTTCTGATTTTCGATAATTGCAGAAGTGGTCAGTTATTGGGAAACTTCCATTTCGAGTTAAAACCACACTAGTTGGTTTCTGGAATGGGTGGTTGTATTTTACATCCGGACAGCGAGACAAAGGACCGGATAATCCCCAACCAAAGAAGGTCATCGGAGAGTTGTGGAGAACGAAATTAAAACTGAACTCGTGATTGGTTCCTTCCTGTTGATTCTTGGGCACAATTGTTTTCTGCCGGTTTAACCATTCGTAGTCTCCAACCAATTATTCATTTATTAAATTTCTGGAATTGAAATGTTCTTCCCTGTTGCAGCAAAGGGAATGTAATAGAAAAGTCACCTACTTATAGGCAATCTTGTGGACAGATACTACTTATGTCTTTCTCATTGGTGTTCCTCGTTATGTAACTTTGTATATTAACTTGAATTTCACGTGCATGATCATTACCAGAACAAGAGAGTTATCTCACGGGTTGCGTAATTACTGACGAGGCTTTTGACACGTGGTAGATATAGTCGGTGAGTCTTCCCGGCCCCAGACGAGATGTATAATCGTGACTTACCACCAGGCAATCTCGTGGACAGATACTACTTCTGTATTTCTCATTGTTGTTCCTCGTTATGTAACTTTGTATATTAACTTGAGTTTCACGTGCATGATCATTACCAAAACAAGAGTGTTTGTCGCAAGGAATGTTGAGAAAATTATCCCTAATGTGTCCCATCTTTCTCATAGATTGCGTAATTACTGATGACCACGTTTGACACATGGTAGATACAGTCGGTGACATCCAAGAATCTTTCATTGATGTATTTTCTTATGGGTTTTCCTGTATTGTTCGTTGTTATTGCTTGTGTTTTGGAAAAATGAAAGGGAAGTGACTTACCCTTTTTAGCTCGTACACTCTTATTTAATTCTAGTTGTTGATTCCGTTTGATTTTTCAATCTGATGACCATAAATAGAGTTGTGTGGGAAGCTAAAAAGGGTGTGAAAATTAGTTTCCAAAACGAAAAAGCACTTGTACACATGGGATAAAATTTAATTAAATTCTTTCGCTAATTTTTTTTTTTCATGTCAAAAAATTTACCGTTGCGGTACATGTTGCTAAACTCTAATTTCGTATTTGAATTTAAAATGTAAATTATACCAAACTATATATTTTTAGGACAGCATGCAAGGTTATAAATACTCACATGTAATATAAGTGGGCGACAATTTTTTATTATTAATAAACCTATATACACATAATAACATAATAAATTGAAAATATTTAGGTGATCGGTCGTCCTGAAAAATCACTCATCTACTTACAAGGTAAACACTCTTAAACGAAAATTTTCAAAAGAGAAGGGAAGGAAACGATGTTGGATAAAAGCCATTTAGTCAGATAATCTCAATTCCTTTTTCTTTTTCCTTAAACAAAACATAATCTCAATTCTTAAGAGACGTAGAGAGCAAGTAATGAGCTACTATGTACAAGACATGGAGCAATGCACTGGCATCCATGAAAACACTTTCACCTCAGCACAAGCTCCACAAGCAGGAGCTCGCTGTCAAACCTCAGCCCGGCAGGGTCTGCCGGCTGAAGCAACCCATCCATCATTCCGCCAAACACAAACAAGTACCGCCCCGAGTTATCTGTGCAGGCTCGATGGAATGACCGGCATTTGGGCTTGTAACCATTTGCCTTCAACCTCTTCCACCTTTTTACCGATACCTGCATGGAGTTCAGCGTAGTTGGCTGCTGCATTGTAATGGATGGAGCTGCATTTATGTCTAAAATCCAGAAGTCATTTTTCCGGTGTCTGTACGAATCCTCTCCCCCACAGATCAGTAGATGGCCGCCTAGCATGAGCGTGGCTGAGTGACCAACTCGTGGAAGAGAAACTCCTCCTGGAACATTTTGTAGCTCATAGCGTACTTGTACCCATTTCGGATTATCATCACAAATGTCCAAGAACCAGACATCATTAAGCACGTCGTAACGTAATCCTCTCCCACCAAATAAAACCGTTCGTGTTCCTCCAATGCAGGTCAGTGTGTGTCCCGAACGAGCTGGGGGACATGGATGAGTCCTGATTTCGTACCAAGTTCCAAACCGAAAATTTTCTGAGAGTTCCAACACCCATGTGTCACACAATCTCACACCGTGGAGCCCAATTCCTCCATGGATAACCATCTTTCTGCCGTCAATGCAGCACGCAGCAAGAGCCCCTCGCTGGGAAGGTGCGTTGGATCCCACAACAAGCAGCTTCCATGAGAGTGTGACACCAAGACTCTCATGGCATGCTACTTGCCCCACCCATGTATCATTGTGACGGCCCCCACTGTCATTTATTCCTCCAAACATAACGAGAAAATCATCAATTACAACACACGAATGCCCGAACCTACCACTTGGAATGCCAGAATTTATTTTCTGCCACTTCAACATTCTCCGAAAATCATTACCAATGTATGCCACCCATGTGTCGTCTAGATGGCGTCCTAAAATAACAAACAACAGAAACAGAATAATCAGATATTAAAATTCGAAGTACATGACAAAGAAACACAAGCATGCCCAAACTAGGAACAAATTCAGAAGACAATTTATTTAAGATGATGGTTGTTGTATAGTGTGTACAATTTTCATATATTTAATTTCTAAATATCTGCAATAATTTGAACCCCTAGCAAGGGGACCAACTGGTACACGTCCAAGAATTATACGCATCCTGAATTTTCCAGGGAAAGGTACGGCTAACTCTCTTACTTAGTGACCATGAAAACATTCGACGTAGAATACATACAGTTTTAGACATGGTGTTCAGTTATAGAAAGGCAGCCTCAAGCATCTTCAGTTGTTTATATTGTTTCTTAAACAATTTTATTGCCGTCTACAAGTTAGACACGGGCAATCTACAAAAGAGAGGCACTTGAATAGGGTTTTAGAAACCTATTAGATTGAACTTTCAGAATATCAGAAACGAACACATGAGTAATTTTTTTCGGTTTGTTCACTTAATATTCTGCAGTCCTGCAAACATATAGGTTTCCTGGCAGGAGGCAGATACAAGGACCAAACCAAGCAACGGCTTTGGAGTGGTCTACCTGAGCCTTGAATGCTTTCATCATCCATAAACTAAGAGAAATACACATATCAGAATCATGAGAACCTTGGCATTAACACTAGTACCACTTTAACCTCTCTGATTAAGAAAAATATGTGCTTCCAAGATACATCCTGTACTCTGTTCAAACCAATATCTGCTAACTACAAAAATCTGAAAAATTTGGTTTATCTAAATAAGAAACCGGGAGGGGGAGGGGATTTAGAAGCTGAGCAGGTTGCCAAATATTCGTAAGGCCAGTGTTTCTAATGTAGACACCTTCGGTATCTGGTCAGTTTCAGGTTGGTCAGACTTCTAAAAGCCTTATTCCTACATACATATGATAACAGGAAATCAGTTGTAAATCCAAAATCTTCAGCATTACCCTGGTGATCCTAAACAATAAACAATTAGGCATCTCGTCGAGTAATGCTCACAATATCTCAACTCATTTTGCAAGATCAGCAAGCCTGCAAAACCTAATAGAGACAGTAGAATTGACATGGAACAAGTACCAGGGGGCATGAAAACCTAGCAGACTTCATGCCCAATTAGGCACATAAACTAGTTATGAACATACAGACAACAATGCATGAGCAGTGGCTTCCATCTAGTCAATAGATCATAAAGTTCAATAAAACATGCAGTATAATTAATTAAGACCAACAAAATTAACAACAAATCATCATACTCAAGAACACGAGGTATTCATGCAAGTGCTAGATTGCCCTGGTGGATAGGGTCTTCCTCTTCAACCTACAACATATCGCATTCAAACCCCTCCCTATCGCGTTCAAACCCTCCCCTCCTTAGTCTAGCTAGAGCAGTAGTACCACTTGTAATAAAAAGAAATATATCACAAACAAAACAAATTTTGAGAAGGGATTATTTTAAGCAAGATAAACTTACTAACCTCCCTCACATCCACCACCAAACAACACCAAGCAACCAGACACAAAATTTAGGGAATGAGAGGCCCTGGGACATGGAAATCCCAATCCTCCATCTGGGTCAACAAGTTTACGGCAATAAACAGAATCAACCCTAGAGACTTGCTTGTAGAGCCTCATCCATGGCAGCTGCTGTAGGCCAAAGTTTGAAGCCTTGAGGGCCTCTACTGATTTGGGTCCCCAGTCCCTCCTGCATATGGACTCCCACAGACTGTCAGATGCTGCCAAAGCTCTGAACTTTTTGCAGGTCATGGCAAAACAAAGAATTGAATCCGCAGGGAGGCGCAGCAGGATTGTAAAGAGGTGGTCTTGGGCTAAGTTGGAAATTGGTGAGCCACTGGAGGAGTAACCGAAGCTGCTGCTTCTGCTGCTAGTGCTGGTTTCTGCCATTGATGAAAGCTTGGGTTTTTGGGGTTTAATGGCTGTGTGTGTTGAGGAAGTGGGAATTATAGAGCGATACAAAAAGGGGTTTTATGATTTGCTCAGATTATTGGTCATGGCAATTGGCAAAAGAAATGTTTTCTGTTTTCTTTCTTTGCTTCTCCTTTCCATTGTTGGTTTCAGAAGATGGTAAAACTTTGTTAGGAGGATTGGATTGTAGTGCCCCTCTTGTTTGTTGTCTTGTTTTATGAAAATTATGAGCTTTTCAATTTCAAATTTCACTCCAACAAAGCATGGTTCGTCTTTTATCTAGAGTTGTTATTGTGAGTTAACTTTGAGTTTAACCAGAAATTGAAGTTATGGGTTATGGGACAAAAATCTGAGTCTCTTCTTTCCACAGATGGTGAGCCAAGGGATTGAAACTAATAGAGACAGTAGAATTGACATGGAAGAGAGGACTTTCAAGGTATTTTAGTTTCAATCGATCTCACGCTAGGGCCCACCTGATGTAACAGATATCCTAATTTGGCAATCTTATCCTTATTTAGTTTTCTGACATCCAGCGGTGTGACATAGAATGTGGGGTTGTCTGTTCTTTTTGTAGACAAATCAAGGATGCAAGAGAGGACCATTGAAAGTCGGTGAAGTTATAAACTGTGTCTGCCAGGCACAAGCCGCGAGCTCATGGAATTTTGATGCTACCTGAGAATGTTTGTCCCGACGTCGAGATTATGTAATGACGTGGATAAATCCAATCCCCTGACAAACGTGTGGCAAGGTGTGGACCGTTGGATCTGAAATTTGGATAGCTCCAACAAGATGAAATTGGTAAACCCACGGCATATTATCCATTTCAAAGAGAGATTATCCACATTATTGACAAGATGGGATGAGAAAAGTCTAACGTCTTCCTCTCATATGCGGGTCCAACGAATTGTTGTATTTATACGAAATAATAACCGTCTCGTAACAATGCGTCGTCGACGTAAAATACCACTAATG